CCATGTGCATTTGGGGGGGGGGGGGGGGACTCATGGCTAATTTGGTCTCTACCAATGTTGAAACCACACCGACGCCCTTGATCATATGTGTGTCATGTGGTGAATTTGGACAGTTTTGGTGGTTAGCTCTGCCTAGAGTAAGCTGGGTATTCCCAGCTCTATAATAATAATAAACAAACAAACAAAGAAACAAAAAAGCAGATAAATAATCATGATAAAATACCAACAGTGGGTGGTGCAGTGGTAGGATTTGTTGCCTCATGCCTATGGGACTTTGATTCCAGTCTCTGCCCTGCTGTGTGGAGGGGAGGATACTAAATTGCCCATAGGTGTGCATGTGTGTGAATGTTGTGTGAGTGTGAATGGTGTGTGAGTGTGAATGGTGTGAGTGTGTGTGAGTGTGAATGGTGTGTGAGTGTGAATGGTGTGTGAGTGTGAATGGCGTGTGAGTGTGTGTGAGTGTGAATGGCGTGTGAGTGTGAATGGCGTGTGAGTGTGTGTGAGTGTGAATGGCGTGTGAGCGTGCCCTGCTGCCCTGTGATGAGTTGGCCGCCCATCCCGGGTTGTTCCCTGCCTTGCTCCCATAGGCTCCGGACCCCCCTGTATATGACAAGTCGGTACAGACGATGGATGGATGGATGAATGGATAATACCAGCTGACATCCCATCCAGGTGTTTCACCTTCTTGTTTAATGGGAAAAGTTGATGCCCTTCATGATCCTGGTAGTGATTTATCAGGGATGAATGGATATATGGATGGATGAATGAAAGGAAGGTAGTTTCCCCACACACTGTTCTGTCAGACTGAGCTGTGCTGGCTTTCAGTGACACCTATTCATACAGTAGAGATTTCCACGTGAAGATACGCTCTGATTGATTTGTCATTGTCTGCGGCCTTTTTGTTAGTCTTACCTTTAAGAAATCAATGCCCCAATTAGATCATTGGTCAGCCTGTGTGCTCTGCTGCCTTTAACAAATCCTTCTTTATGTGGAGACAGATCATTACCTTGAATTGAGGCCGGTGTTGCACCAAGGCAAATGAAAATCTAGTTACCCCACTGTCTAAATACCAATACCCCGCAAGCAGATAGAAGAAAATGAGTGCATTTCAGAAACATACGCAATTATATATGAACATCATCCTGAGAAGAAACTTTAATATGTTTAAATGTTAATGAGATCGGTGGTCTGCAGGATCTGATAAGTTTCTGGGAATAATAGCAGTTATGGGTCCTATACCTGCTGTGCTTTTCATTGTGTGGAAAATTTGTCTGCAGGTTCAAAGCTGTATATCGCTCTATGTCTCCCAGGACAGCAGAGTGTCCATCCGAACCAATAATACTGGCTGCAGAATTAGGTTTGCAAACACCAGGAGCGACGCTTTTATGAAATGAGAGTAAATAGTGTCACGAAACAAAAAGACAAATGTCACAAGCTGAATACACAAATACTCTGCTGTTCTGGAACAAACCAGCCTGTTATTAGTCTGCAATTGCTTTATTAGCGATGCACACATTCTTAATTCACACACGATGCTGCAATTCATGCACGGTCTATATTTTGACGAATTTCTCATCCAGCGCAGATGACTGCATTACAAAACGATTCTTAGATCGGCCTGGACAGGACAACCTCCTTAGTGATTCAGTTTTAATTAAATCAGCCTGTTTGCCTCTTTGAATATTACCCATTGGAAACACAGTGGGATGTAATTGCCTTTTTTTCCCTATTTTGATGAAATTTTCTGTTAGCTTGTTTATTATATTCCATGCACTGTGAATTTGATTTGATTTGTCAAATTCATATTGATTTAAAGGAATTTAGAAAAGTTTAATTTAAAAAAATCAATGACTTACGGGTTAAAAAAAAAAACGAGAAGATTTTCTGGTACGATGTCGACAGTATAGCATGGATGTGGACCGTGCCGTGGATGTGGACCGTGCCGTGGATGTGGACCGTGCCGTGGATGTGGACCGTGCCCATTGAAGATGCATGACTTTGTTGACGCTGCTGTGGCGACGCCATTTTGCTGCAGGTGTACAGAGTGCTGGAATGTTCTGGAATTTCCGCCTCCGGGCGCAGTGAGAGGGGCGTGACGCTTCCTTCGGGGGCGTCTGAGCCGGGTCGATACGCAGCGGCAGCACGGTCTCCTTCATAAAACATGAATTGCCTGTTATGGCTGCTTCTCCACCACGGGCAGCCGCTTGCATTCGTCCACCCTGATGAAATGAGATCCTCTTGTCTGCCCGTCCTCTCAGCACCATCCTGCTCTCCACTCCGCTTAAAATGAAGCATCGTTCCTTCCAAAATCCAAATCAGTTTATTCAACTGTACAATTTTACAAAGGACTCGATACCCAAAACATGCCCTCCCTCCTCTGTCTCTCACAAAGACATGCTGTATTTATATACACTGTTTGCTACCATGTACTGTAGCTTCAGAGTCACTCAGTAACACATTCCTTATTTACTCATTCTGTCCAATGCAGAATATACTGTATCGAAATAGGGCAAGAAACACCCAGCTGAAGAGCATAATCTCCCTGGCTGGTGACAGATGCCATCCACTGTCAGTGATGATTTAAAAAAAAAAAAAGAACAACAAAAAGGTGAAAAAAAATCAAACATAACCATAGCAGGATGACAATCTTCATTGGGCGGATTCTGCACATGCTTCCTGGCTTTCACAGCATAGCCTGGGACATTGTGGTGATTCCTCCATATTCACATGTACACAGATGAGCTACTGTATATATTGATGGTAGGTGAAGAAGAGCAGGTATATTTTGTCACAGCTGTCTTTGTTTTTATGGGGCCTGATATACGCTCGCTTGTTAAGGCTCTGCATGGGTGCCGCTCTGCTATCAATGTGACTGAGAAATGGGGGCAGTATGTGATTGGAAGTCCGGCGGTCCGATGCCGCCATTGGGCCCCTGAGCGGGGCCCTTAACTCTTGGCTCCTGGGCTTGTGTGTCTCATGTAGAGCTAGATTTGCTTGGAAAAAATATTCTATTTCCCCAAAGTGGGTTCATTAAAGTATCACTATTCACTTCTAAGAAAGAGAGGTGCGGTGCACATCTCGCGGGGGGGGGTGAGTGGCTTTGCTGGCTAAGTCTCTGTGACCAGAAGGTCGCCGGTTTGAACCCCAGTCTCAGCAAAACAGTCACATGCCTGTGTGCCCTTGAGCTAGGCCCTGAACAGTGGCAGTAAAATCATGAATCTTGGGATACAGCTTATAAAGAGTAACGTATCCATGTTTGGAGTATAGTCTCACACCTGAGGCTAAGTACCAGCAATTTCCTCATCCCCCCCCCCCCAAAGTAAGCCCTGTAAGTGGGGCTGACAGCTCAATGTGGCTGCAGAGTGCATCAGATGGCCCCCGTTCCGAGTCGGCGGCCGGCCCGGGTGGAACAGGCTCTCAGCTGCTAACATTATTTACGGTGACCTACAGCGTCGCTCTCACGCGACACCCCCCCCCCCCACCACGGTCCCGCCCCCGCGGTCAACAATCACCCCCGCCCCCCCCCCCGCCCCCCCGCTTCATGTGTCT